AATTATAAATCAAATTTTTGATTTCTAATAATTCTTTATTCGAATAAATAAAGAATATATTAGCTTCGATCTAATCTCCGAAATCTTATCGCCGACCATCCGAATGCGTACTTGCTCCTAAATTTTGATAATTTATTTTTAGAACAATATTATTGTTTAATTTAATAAAGAAAATAAAGAGTTCTTTTATTAAAATAATAATCTTATTGTTTTTTATATAAAGAAAATAAAGAAAATAAAGGAACTATGAAAATTTTCTTTTTCTATAATAAAATTTCACTATTTATTTACATAAATAGACTTTCTTTTTATTGATTAGTTTTTATATATATACTAATCTTTTGAAGTGTTTTTATTAAGAGATATTAATTAAAAATTTAATATCAGATATATTTCCTTCCCATCTATATAACACATTCATAAATCATATATCGAAATTATAAATAACAAAAACATTCTAAATCAAAGTGCCTTTTTTATTTCGATATAGAACTTTCTCTTATTCTGATAGAGAAATAGAAATATAAATTCCATCAACAACTCTAATGTAATCCTTGAAATATAGAAAGCATTTCGAATTTTGGAATATCTTGAAATATAAAAATATAGAGATAATAGAAGATTATATAATAGATTAATAAAATATAAAAGAAAAAAAGTATTTTATAACTTTATAATAGATTTTATTAATAATCTAAATATTTTATTAAAATTGCTCTATAAACTAGTATATCGAAAGATTGATAATAACTATATAAAGAATATATTAAGTTATTCTATAATAGATATATATCGAATATTTGTTATATCTACTATTTTGATTAATTGATCTTTTAATAATAAAAACCCAGTTTGGGAGATCTCTAAATTGTTTTTGATTTTTTAAGAATATTCAAAGACTAATTTATATATCTATTGAGTATTAGATATTTTCGAGATATATTATAGATATCTATAGAAGTTATATTTATAATAAATAGTGGCTACAATTATAGATAATATTGAAATCATTATTAGAAGCTTTTTATTATGTTTTTTCCTTTTTTTAATAATAATAATATTATAATTATAGAGTTAAATCAAATTATTAGATAATATTAGAGAATTAAAATGAATAAGCTAGTGAAAGTATACATTCTTCAATTTTTATATTTTTCAAATATAGCTTTTTCAAACATGTTTCATTTATATAATATATCTATAAGTATATGGATTCATATATATTCTTCAATTTGAATTAAACAGATTTTTGAAAAGTATACATTTTTATTTATATAGTGGAGTATGAAAAATTATTTTGGTGGTACACTTTTGTGTACACTACCGAGCCAAACAGGCCCTTAGACTTTTAGGTACAAGACGACTTAGACGAGTGAACGAGTAAAGCTTGTTGGGGGTATTAATCGAAAGTTTTGTTTTGTTGTGTTGAGACCAGTATATACGATAAATCAATATAAAAGCATCAGTTTCTATGTAGGTTTTTATTGGCACATCTTCCTCTTATCGTATTACTTCGTCCATGAATCTTCATTTCCCTATGCCCATTCATCTTACGAGTAGACGCTGCTTGGACCTTAAGCCCCACCCTTTTGTAAAATGCAACATAACGGCGGGCGAGCAGCACAACCTTCTTCTCCCATACACCAAACTCGAGAAGAGGAAGAGAAATCTGCACCTTGTAATTAATGATTTTCTTTTTACACCCTTCACATTACACTACAGTATGTAATGCTTGAACCCTACTATTAGATCTAAACGCAAGATCCAATTCTTACACTCCTTTAAAAACAACTTTTATTTCTTCATTACATCATAAGACTTACAATTTACCTTCTACAATCCTCACTAATTTAATAAATAATCTTTTGAGGTGCACTTCACGAATCTTCGAACTGCACGACATTTCACTCGCATTATTGTGCGACGACGGCTTGGTGGTGGTATGAGAAATAGAGAGAAATTAGTTTGAAGGACGACTTTAATATATGAAATGAGTTCCCGGGGCAATCTTCATTCCACAAATACTGATAATCAAACATTCCCCAACCCACACCTCACGCCTTCAGAATTCGGAGATGTAGCTAGCGTTTTATCGTCGCGAATGACCGACATAGCTTCAGAAGATGGAGACGATACAGACACCTTTTCCAATCCAATTCCATACGGTCGTCGATTGAGCCAGCGTCATAGTATACAGACTGGGGATGGAACCTCAAGGCCAGGCACAGGACTCACGGCTGTGTCTTCCAGGGGAACTTTCGGCCAAGCTGCCTCTTCTCGAAGAATTTATAACCCAGGAATAATTGCGCAACGAGGGAGCACATCAGGACGACCCCCAAGCTCTACCAGTAAAACCCACGTACCATCTCTTAATTCACATACTTTCTTCCGACCGATGAGTTCCCAGAAACTCCAAGCGCAACGTGCAGGATCTCGGCCAGTAACAGTTATACAACAAGGATTTGGCGAGGACGGGTCTTTGGATGGTGGTAGTGTAAGGAGGAGCGTGTATTCAAACATTACTATTCCACAACAAATCATCAGCGAAGATGCAGATCTGCCACCACCACCATCTCGAGGGACAGAAGTGACAGAACTTGGAACAGCAGACAGAGCTACCGCAGATACAAGTCCTACGCATGGCCATGCAGCCGACAGCTTCACAGACAGTGTGCGGCCTCTGCAAAAGGGTCCAGCGAATATGAAAGGGCTGAGCCTAAACGTTGATAAGGGTTACAAAACCGGCACTTCGACTCCTAAAACTCCACGGTCTTTTCATTCGAATTTTCTGATGCCTGTGAGGAACGATGGGCCTGCTGGAAGCGCTAGTCCGAGTCGCAGCAACCATGGCCGCGAAAAGCTCTCGTCCGTTGCTTCTTCTCCAGGCTTTACACCGGTGGATGCGCAACAAAAGAATGTGCAGGCTCAAAATCTTGGTAAAAACCATCAGTATTTCACTGGCAACACGGCATTTTGCTGGGGAGGCCGACTGCAGAATACTCGACATAGACCTATCAACATTGCCACGGGATTATTCGTTGTCGTACCATCAATCCTTTTTTATATATTCTCGGCACCATTCCTATGGCATCATGTTTCACCTGCGGTACCCATTTTGTACGCCTACGTTTTTTACATCTGCATGTCCTCTTTCATACATGCCTCTGTATCTGACCCTGGAGTGAGTACACTTTCGAAACTTCTGCGGAGTTACTTTGACTCGAGCTAACTCTCCTAGATCCTACCACGAAATCTACACCAAATGCCCCCGTCAGACGAGAATGAAGATCCGCTTCGACTTGCGCCACCACAAAATGATTGGACTATGATAAAATCGGCGCAATCTAGCACGGCTGCTATGGAAGTACCTACAAAATACTGCAAGACTTGCAATATATGGCGACCTCCGAGGGGACATCATTGTCGAGTTTGTGATAATTGTATCGAGACTCAGGATCATCATTGTGTCTGGCTGAATAATTGTGTCGGGCGTCGAAATTACCGTTACTTTTTCGCATTTGTGACTTCTGGTACACTTCTTGGAACGTTTCTCCTCGGTGCAAGTATCGCACAAATTATTGTCTATGGACATCAACAACACATTTCATTCGGCGCTTCAATTAATCATTGGCGAGTTCCCTTCGCAATGTTCATTTATGGTCTCCTCGCTACCCCTTACCCTGGTGCATTAATGGTATATCATTTCTTCCTAATGGGCCGAGGCGAGACCACACGAGAATATCTCAATTCTCACAAATTCATCAAAAAAGATCGTCATCGTCCATTTACTCAGGGCAATCTTATTGGCAACTGGATTGCAGTACTTTGCCGCCCACGACCTCCCACTTACCTCAATTTCAAACGTAAATATGAGGATGGCGATCAACGATTTGGTGAGCGAAGGGGGAAGCGAACAGCTCCACTTACGAAGGAATTTGAGGGGGGTGGAAACGCAAACGCCAACGCCAACGCCATGGAAATGCAAGATGTTCATATAGCGGAAGGTGAAGGGTTTCAAGGCCCTACTTCGCTAAGACAGATGACTTGAGGTGTTGTGGAAAGGGTTCGGTCGGGATGGGAAGGGAAGGGAATTATTTTTGGGGGAGGCCTTTTGGCTTGCTTGGCTTTTATATTGATGTTAGATACCTTTTTTCTTGTACTTTTATGTTATGTTACCATGGGATATTTACTTATACTTCTACTTGCTTTTAATATTGTATTTTTACTACTTTTACTTTAAAGGAGAGAATATAAGATATGAGGGGTTGTTGAGAAGATGAGAGGAGAGGAGAGGAGAGGAGAGGAGAAGATATAGAAAGCAAGAAAGCAAGAAAATATCATATCGACCACTGCTGGTGGTGGTCAACGCAACGATAGTTAGTTATAGTTAGTGATGGGAAAGAGAGAGGACAAGTATTTTATTTGGAGAAGAAGTGAATGAATAGCTTGGAGTTGGAGTTGGAGTGGGTGTGGGAGTGGGTGTGGTAGGTAGATAGGTTGATAGTAGTATTATTATATATATAATTACTTGAACTAGCAAGCGATTGAAGATTGAAGATTGGAAGAATGAAGGAAAGAATGAAGGAAGGAAAGAAAGTGATACTTTGTCGGGTTTGCGAGATGGATGATTGAGAATGAGATTGAGATTTAGATTGATGTGGATGTGGATGTGTGGATGGATGTGGGATGTGGATGGATGTATAATATACTCGAGTAGTAAAAACACCTTGTTACTTGATTTAATTTGATTTATGCAATGTAATGGGTGGGATGAGAGGATATGAGATGGGATGAAATGATATAAGATGAGATATGGGGGTGGAGAGATGAGGGAAGATGAGCGGAGGGAGATGAGATGGGAGGGGAGATGAGGGATATGGGTGTGATGGGGGGAGATGGGATGGGTGTGATGAGATATGTATGAGATGAGAGGAGATGAGATGGGAGGAGGGAAATGAGGGAAGATGGGTGTAATGGGATGGGTGTGATGAGATATAGTATAATATGATTCAATATAATGGGATGGATGAGAGGAGAGGAGAGGACAAAAAGAGAATGAGAGGAGATGAGATTGTATTTTGCAATTGATATTATTTATTTGTTTACTTGATTTGTGATTTGGTTTGGTTTGATATGATTTGATATGATTTGGTTTGATGGCATGGGATGAAATGAGATGAGATGAGATATAATAAAATAGAATTTGATGGGATGGGACGAGAGGAGAAAGAATAAGAGGAGATAAAAGAAGGGCATGCATGATTCACTTTATTTTATCTTGTATGAAAAGAAAGGAGGAGAGAAGAAATTTTGCTATGGATTGGTATGGATTGAGATGGAGTGGTAAGAAGTTGTGTGGGATGAGATGGATAAGATGCATTGGATGGGATGGATGAGATGGATGAGATGGATGTAAGAATACAAAACTACTTTTGAATTGAGTTAATATGATGGATGGTATGGTATGGATGGATGACTACTATATGGTGGGTACTTAACTGAGTTATGATTGGGTAGATTGGGTAGATTGAGTTATTGAATTATTAAGTTATTGAGTAGATATTAAGAGAGACGGAGGGAGAGAGAGAGAGTATAAGAGAAAGGAGAAGAAGAGAGAAGTGATAGCGGGGGGTATAGGTGTTGATATTCGATGTTGATGTGGGGATATTGATATTGATATTGATATTATATTGATGTTCGTTATTTATACTCGTAAAAGTGTTTAGGAACAATGTGGTTGGAAAGTTGAATTAGAAGTATAATTATAAGTAGAAGTAGAAGTTAGAATGTGGAATTTGAAATATAGAATAGGAACATAGAAGATAAATAATAGATAATAGATACTGTAGTTGTTGCTAGTGTTAGTGCGAGTAGTTGATATTGATATTGAAATTAGTAGAAATTAATCGAGAGAATTGGTACTGGTACAGGAACCGGTTAGTTAGGCCTACTAGGAGGTTTGGCGAGATACTTACTGTACTTGTACGACTCCGACTCGTAGTGTGGTTAGTTAATGTGGTTGGTGAAGAGGGTGGGTGGTGGAGAAGGATTGAGATAGAAGGAAGAGAGAGATACTCGAGTAGATGAACAATAATCATCTACTACTCGGGTATAAGAATAAGAGACCAAAACTTCAAAATAACTCAATTCATTCATTATTCAATTAAAAGATAATTTAGATATAAACTAATTGATTGATTGATTGATATACAATACTCGAGTAGATAGATATAGATAGTACCCAAACCCCTAAGAATAAATCTACTATATATACATAAAACAAGACCTCTCCGAGTCTATACCACCCAATAAATCCTTTCTATCTATCTATTTAAACAGAAACAGAAACATAGAAATCCTCCTATACATATACATATACATATACATATACATATACATATACATATACAAAAACTCGATATTTTTGCAAAGGAAACCAAACCAAACCAATGAGATATAGATAGGTATTTTGCACCGAGAAGAAGAAGAAGAAGAAGAAAATCCCATCGAGTTTCTGGTATAAGAAAATGGAAAATAAAGAGTTTGGATAACACCCCGCCATCCCCCTCCCCATGCTCGCGAGAGCTAATGTTGTACTGTACAATAGAAAAAAGAATCGCTATCCCATCCATATCTATACCCATACCCATCCTATCCTACCCATCCATCCATCTATCTGTCTAATAATTTACCCAGTTCCCGAAGATCCCAAAGAAAAAGAACAGCAAAAAAAGAGAGAGATAAAAAAGAAAAGGGAAGTAAAACCAAAGCCCAAGAAAAGGTCCAAAATAACCCGCTCGCTCGCTCGCTAGCTGCCGCATAACTCCCAAAAACCCAGACAAAGAAATAATCAAATAATCAAAAAATATAATAAAAATATCCCCAAGGAAAAACATCGATACATCTATCCATCCACTGTACTGTACTGTCGTATGCGTCGTGAGATACACAGTACATACGGCGCAGAAGTGACAGAACAGGAATAGATAGGTTGGTTGGTTATGGTATGGGATCCAAGAAATCAGCCCGCACCATCTTTCTACCTATTCATCTATCCAGCTCGCCTAACGAATGGGAAGGAGTCATCCATCTCTCTCTCCAGTACTCGTACTCCAGTTCCAGTACTCCAGATCAAGTACCGAATTACTCGTATATTGCAAATAAATGCAAATTTCTATATGCCGTCGTACATGATCTTGGGCATAGTCCAAATTTGAATTTGTTGATTTGATTTGATTTGATTGGTGAGTAATAAATAGTGATGACTCCTTGCCAGAGGTGAATAGGTAGGTAGATGATATGTATATCTTCGGAGAAAAGCGAGTTTGGTTTGAAGTGAAGGGAGGATAGGATAGGATGGAAGAAAGCAGCCTGGCTAAGTAACAGCTGAATGTTCGATTATGCTGAGCCACTTCAGGGAGTGAATTTGTGATGCGGTGATGCGGATTTTTGATGACCTGTTTGGTTTGGATTTGGTGCTAGCTGCTTGCTCGCTTGGTATGTATGGTACATGCTGAGTTTCTGCTGGGTTTTTGGTAACCGCTAGCCGTGGATGCGCAGAGGAGCTGAATGAATTGAAATTGGAACCTGAACCTGAACCAGAACCTGAACCTGTCGGATGAGATGAGATGAATCGATAGTGAAAGGAGAAGGAAAAAAAAAGAACATTGAAAAGACTTCGGTCGCTAGAGCAAGGCTGAAAAATGGGCTGTGGCTAGGTAGGTATGATGAAGAAATTCTTTTTTCGGATCTGGTATGGGCCGGGTTATCTAGTTTCGTTTCATTTCGTTTTCGGTGTGGTGAGGGTGAGGGTGATGAGATGATATTGATTGATATGATGCCTGGTTGATCGAATTACGATTCGTTGAATTTTTTGATTGATCTGCATTTCTTGGGGATGGATATTGATTGCTGCAACTCGTGATCGAAATTTGGAGGGGTTTGGGAGATTGTTGACTATATGGCGAAGTCTGGGATTGTCTATTGGAGAGAAGATTGATTAGTTTCTTTTGTTTTTATTTATCTTCAATAGATGTTTTTTATTTTTGCTTTTTGCTTTTGCCCTTTGCCCTTTGACCCTTCACATTTTGCCCTTTTACTTATTGCATTTGGGGTAAAAGAGGGCGATGCGAAAAAGGGGGCATTTGTGCATTTGTAGCTTGTAACTTGTAGTGGCTGAAGAAATTGTGATAAAGGTCGCTTATCTGGCCACAAGCAACAGGTAAAGAAAAAAAGCCTGTACTGTGACGCCAGTGTACCGCTTGGCTGCATTTGCTGACCTTGCAACATCTTGCAGCTCTCATCTACCCAGGGACGGACCACTAAGAATCTAATAAAAGATACAAGTACCAGGGGGCCTTTTGCGTCTGAGACCTTGCTCAAGGTTCCAGCCTCGTCTTGTTGGTTTCGATAAACTCTCGTAACTCCAAACTCCATTTGTCTGGTAGGGGAAATTGGGATAGGGTATCAAAAAGGTTGGATTTGGAAATGAGGAGTGATGATGAGATGAGGGGTGAGGAAATGAAGGTTATACTCACGTTCAGGTCATGGTAGTTACATCTAGCAATGAGAAGATAACCGGCAAGATATTTAGTGGTCATCATCATCGTTGTCTTTTGGGTGGCTTTTGAATGCCTTGATGGTGGGGTCTGTAGAGTAATGGTTAGCAATGTTGAAAGTATGTACAATTGAGAATCCTATAAGATATAACTGCCGAGAAGAAACTCATGGACAAGGAATTTGACATACTTGACATTGGGAAGGATCCGGTAGACATTCTGGGTAGTTGTTTGGGGTAAGTGTTGGTTGGTTTTGATATTGTTATATGGGATGTAGAGTGTAGGATGGAGTTGTATGTTTTAGAATATGCAATGATACTGAGTTGGAGAATGAGTTGGAGATGTAAAGTAATAACTTTGAAAGTATGTTGGGATTGAGGATGTTTATATCTGATATTTGATTCAAGTTGGAAATACTGAAACAAAAACGAAGGTTGGTGAGAGGGTCTAGGGGTTTAAGTATCTTGGAGCGTAATATACAAATATTTCT